TTGTTTTTCATTGCTTCCGTCTTCCGTTTTTGTTAAGAATTTGGGAACGATTTCTAGCCATGCAATATGTAGTTGGTGCGTTCCTTTTCTTTCGGCTTAGTTCGACTTCTTGTTTAGTCAAATTATTTGTCAAAACACAATCACCCTATATCTATCACCGTGAAATGCATCAAAATGCACAACAAGTCGGCTGAAAATTTATTAGCACATTCTGAACTTGATAATGGCCACCTCTTTTCCAGCTGGGTAACGATCGACCTACTTTCTAAATTGGTAACGTTAACCACATCTACACTGTTAACAATTGTTTGTTCTCAAAATGATCTTTACAGGGAACATCAACCATGTTCTCCGATATAGGGGTGTACAGGTACACAGTCAGCTGCAGCAGAAAGCATAAAGTACCGAAGGTGCGTGCATTCTCGCTGGACCAGATCCGACGTGGAGACCATCTGTGCTTCGATCGAGTTCTCTACTGGCATCACGCTATAGTAGAGACCGTCGATAAATCAAATGGTGAAGTCAACGTCATTGAGTACTCCAATTTCGCAAAGCAATTCAGCCAGGGCAACAGCAGCCCGCCAAAAAATCCAGGATTGGCTGTGGTGGTTAGACGGAAGTTCAAATTAGAAAACGAATCCGTTTACGTTATTAAACACGACAGGTGTTTTGATCCCAAAACTGTTGTTTCCAGAGCTAAGAGTAAGCTAGGGGAAAGAAAATACCATCCTGTTACCAATAACTGTGAGCATTTTGCCTTATGGTGTAAAACAGGAATATCCTCCTCAGAACAAGTAAACAATGTCAAGGAAGCTTTCGAGACAGGAGTAAACGATGTCAAAGACGCCTTCAACACAGGAGCATGGTTAGCGGCTCTCGCAAATACAGGAGTAATAATAATAATTTAATAATTTATATTGCGCTATTCAGCTACTCTTTAATAGCGCTTTACAATGATAATGTTAAAATGTAACTTAAAAATATAAATACATCTAGAAAAAATGAAAGTTAAAAATCTAAAATCTCAAAATACCGAGATAAATATGTATATATTTATGTATATGTAACATATTATGTGATATACACTGTGCCTACTCAGAACAAGCAGGAGGGAAAAATCAGCCAATCAGAATTCGATCAAACTGTTGGAAAACGAATCGTAACAGGCACCTAAAATGTGGCTGGATCTACTGCAGGAGCAGCCATTGGCCAAGTTGTTATTACTGTTCCGATTGTGGGAGGATTTGTAGGAGGTTTCAAGGGATCCTTTACTAAGAAGTATGTCCGAGGACTGGCTGTATCTTAACAATTCGAACCCAGACTCTGAGAATCAAGCCAATCAGTTTTAGTAGGATAGCCCCAAGAGTGACCAAATGCAATTTTCTCCTTACAATTACAACACATAAGCAATAGAAAAGGTTAGGAGAATTATTATAAAATGATCAACAGAGGAAAATGCTTTAATCTTTTGTCAAATTCTCTCAATGCATTCTTTAAGGAAATGTTTGGAGATCAGTCTGGAGAATTTGTTATTGGATAATGGAGCTTTAAGGGATAAGTCTTGCTAGGAGCAAAGGCGTTTACTAGGCTCAATTACAAGCCGCTGTGCGTGAAATGAGCCGGCGCTCCTCCCATCGAGAGAGCGGCTGAAATCGAGCCTAAGGCCATCCTCTTTTTTTTCCGTTTAGCGTCGTCCGACCGACCCAAATTTTTGGCATTTTCAAAAAAAAAAAAGAAGAAGAAGTAACGACGTAGTTAAACCATTTTTCACTTGAAATAATTCTTTTAATCTGAAAAATGAGCATAGTAACAGCATGGAGAAAAACAGGAACATTTTTTTACAGTATATTGTGCATTTTGTTAATCCAAATATAAATGTTTACTTTTAACGTCACCCTGGGGTACCAGGGCCTCGTATTCCGAGACTTCTTGTGATTTTTTTTTTGTTTTTTTTCATTCCGACCGACCGACCCAATATCTGGAAACGCATTCGACGCCAAACGAAAAAAAGAGGGGATGGCTTAAGGCGTTTAGTAGCAGCAAAGACATTCAAAACCTTCGTTTCCGTCACATACTTTACTAGCACACATTTTACCTTCTGTTAACAACGCATGGTAATTCGCGCAATTTCCAAGTGTTAGCTACATCCTGTTAACTTTGAACATTAAAAACTCGCATTTGGACAGCAGGGGAGTAGATATAAATGCAAATTTTGCATTTAAGTGTCTCTACAGATAGACGACAAAGTTTCACAATTACTTCTCTCAGAGAAAAGTAAAACTTCTAGAAAAAAAATACTGAGCATATATATCTGACTGAATTTATGTAAACATGGCTTCAGTGAGTGTCTACAGGTCCTATGCTAAGTGTGTCCTTGGTACCAAGACTTTGACCCTCCCCACCCAGGACAATGGGTGACTGTCTGCACCTCCCACTGAGCTCTGCAATTATCCTGATAATCATTCTCAGCAGAAGCCTGATTCAGCTGGCTAGGGTAAATTAAGAACAAGGTACTTGCCAGTCAAAGCCTCTACTGAACACTGCTGCTTATTAAAGGGGGTGTGTCAAAACAGCCCCCTCCCTACCCCACTAGTTTTGACCCCCAGACCTGATCCACCCACCCACTGTTAGGGCAGTCCCTGGGATATCCAGCTGTACTGACCAAGATGACAAGCCTCCTACTTTTTTGGACACCGGACTGGCCTGAAGCTGGGCTATGCCCGGTACCAGGTGATAACCTAGTGGCCACATTTTAGCGAAATCAGACAGATATATACACATACAAATCTCGCAGTTAACCATTTTTCATTAAGTACAAGATTTGTATTAGTGTAGTGAATATATATTTAAAGTAAAACTTCGCAATTAACTAATTGCAAAATGTTGCCTCCAATATGTAAGTGAGTAAAAAAACTTGCAATCAATTTATAGTGAAGTTTGACTCTAAATATACAGTCATTTATTTGCGAATTTTTGCTTGTCTCTGTAGAGATACTTAAGTGCAAAATTTGCATTAATCAAATCATCGAGACAGCAGGGATGTTTTTCTCAGTTTGTCAATTTCCGTTGGATCAGGGTGTATCTTCTCAAGACTGAAAAAGATCCAATGATTTTTAGGCTATTGTAGGCTATTTTAGACTATTGTATTAATTTTATAATTGATAATTCAAACAATACGATTTGTACACAGTAAATTTCTCCGCAACAACCAACTTAAAACAAATGCTTTTGTTTTATTCATCACACCCTTATGGTCTTTTTTCTTTGACAATATATCTTTTGGGTTTGTTGTTGTTTTATTTACAAAACAGTTAATCATAAAATAGCACAAGTAAATACTCCTTTACATTTAATTTGGCAATATATAATGGCAAATTAAATTCTAGATATACATAAGCAATATATTGCAGAGTGCAGTCCTCTATAAGACGGTTAAACAACAGTCCTATTCAAGACTACAATCACAGTGTAAATATACGTTTTTTATTAATAATTATGTTTGCCAGTCTTGTATTCTACCTATGTAAGGGTGAGCAGTGCAAGGAATACATGGTAGCAAATTTACTGATTATGCCACTCACACTATTAAATTGTAATTAATTTACTTACCACAGTGTCAAAAGTTAAACCTATTCCATATTTTCAGCCCACATATATTAAATAAAAGACCAGGTAAGAAGGAAAGAAGCAACAACATGGAAACCGTGTCGGAATGCAAAGAGGTGCTAACTGTACTATTGTCAGTACTATGCTTACAAAAACTTCGCAAAGCATCGTGTATGTAGCAGCACCGTTAGTTATCCAACCAACTTCTTTATAACAAAATCTTGTCTGAGTCTAAATAACACAGAAAAATTTCCCACGTGAGAAAAATGTGAAATTGTAAACTTTTTGTGGTTATTGTTTTCAACTCTTGTGATCAGTTGAAATCTTTTGATACAAAAATACCTTAAATCAAAATGGAGTTTAAATACATTTTATTCCTAAACTGCCTTTCTGTAGTTTATGGATTTCCTGTGTGAAAAAGAAATCATTCCTATGTGAGGAAAGAGTATTGCCCCAAACCAAAAGAAATTGTTTTCCACCTAACCTAATGATAATTACAAAACCAAGTTAGTTCTTATCTAAACAAAACCCTGTACACAGCACCACAGCTTAACAGCAGGTTCCTCATTTTCCAACTTTTGGTATAGTTAGTAAAGGAGACTGGTTAGAAAAGGTGGCAAACATCAAAGATAAAAGCAACACTACTGCAGTTTATGTTGGAAGATCCTTGACGGTGCACAATACATTGTAATTCGTTCAAAAATTGTGACAGAATAAATTAATACAATGTTTTTTTGGTCAATAAGATCAAAATGATAAGAAGGCCACTGAATGTGGTGCACCTTCAAGTCCACAAAAACATAGATCAGGAGTCTGCCAGGAGTCTGACAGGCTTCTTAGGGTAGCGAAAATCACAGATTTTGGTCAGAAATAGGGTAAGGGTTTCAGGAAGTGTGCCCCACATCCCCACCCAATTTTTCTGGAAGTACGCCCCCTGGCATTTTTGTTGTTTTTAGGTCAGAAGTGGAGGGTCATTGTGCCAGGCGTTCCTTGGGGACACCGTGGATACTGGGACTAAGAATTGTTGCGTGATGGAAGCCACGCATGTTTTGCGAAGAAAGCTTAGGAAAGATTAAATTTAGAGCTTTTCGTAAATGTGTCGGTCCACGGATTCTATCACTTGAAAGCGTTGATTACTTTGGAGCAAGTGAACACTTCTGAGTGGTCGAAAAAAAATAAGAATCTGAATTAGCAAAATTGTGATGGTTGGGTGTTGTAAACTTTCACTGTATGCAAATGAGTCTTGGGATGAGCATGCCATTTATTTTCGGCGATGATTGAAAAGACGTGCTATGTAAATCACTTTTTTGATATCTGGCAATGATGTTATTTCTCTGGAATCGAGGCCTTTGAATTTTCGTGTATTTATACATGCGTATAGCCTGCGACCGCAGACGTATTTCCAATCGTCGCTAACACCCGCACTAAATCAATTCAGAAACAAGTAAAAAGTATTGACGTCGATAAAGTAGGAAATAAAAAACATTTAGGGAGTAAATCTGTTTCGTTTTGTGTAGAATTAATCGCCTCCTCATTTCCCAATCTAATCTTCAAGCAAGCAAGACTGAATCCGCTGTAAGCGGCTTCTTGTTATGGACAGTTTTCTTTGTCCCTGTGGAAAGAAAGCCTTTACATTTTCTCTAAACTCAACTGGCTTAATACAGACAGTTTCTGTGGCCCCCTCGGCCCCTCAGGTTTGACTTGTGTATCTCCCTTCTGAACACTACTAACACATGGTTTTACAGATGGACTGCTGGCTCCAGAATTTTTCCACGTGCAGTCAAATAAATGTATGCGGTTATCCATAAAAACCTTCAATCCCTTTTTCTCACATTCATAAGCAAACATTATGTCTTCAAATTGGGGGAGTTCCGGTCGATAGTAAACGCTTTCTGATGACAATTTATCAATGTTAAGGTACACAGCACACTGTGGAGCCTTACAAACAAATAGTTTCTTCACCACCTGCACAGTCTGACCATTAAACCGTCTTGGGCTCATGGCAACCACCGGCTTACCCTCTAACTTCCTTACTAAATCTTCAATCTGTTTAAAAACAGATCCAAATTTCATCTTTGGCCCTACCTTTCCCAGTTTCTTTCCTGGATAAAATTTACAAAACCACATGATGCTGTCATCTAACATCCAAATAAAAGACAACTTTAACCAAGTAGCAATTTTCTGTATCCAAAAGCGTGGATAACCAGCTCCAATTTCATCATGCGGCAAGCAAATCACAGGTACTTGGTGGCCACAATACCGAACGTATTCATCAAATTGGGAGGGTCTTACAACCAGTATCCTGATGGTGTTTTCTTTGGTTATGTTGCTATCTTCTTTTGGCCAGTCAAGCAGTGCTATCTTTGCCCGGCGAAATGAAGGTATGAAGATCCATCTCTTGTCTTCCTTCTCCTTCTTGATATTTGCTATAAGCATGGAACGTTCATCATAATCAAACCAAGATATTGATTTACCGGGTAAATAGATCTTCATCATGTATTCACAGGAGAGAAAATAATAATTCTGTTCTATTGGATCCTCGGGTTCCTTCTGCAGCGAATATGCTTCGAATTGCGGGTCAGTTGGGTCTTCTCTTCGTCCTATTCTTCCTCTTCTTCCTCCTTCAGAACGCTTTCGTGGCTGGTCTCTTACTTCTTTTTTGTCAAGTATTTCTTTACTATGCCGACCAAGCTCTGATTCATTGAGTGTTATTTCATACTGTTGGGTTTCCGTGTTTGCCTTCGCGTTTTCAAACACCTTTTCCAACTCTTGTCGCGCGCTGCTTTCAACTTTCACTTTCATAACAAAAAGAGGAAGATCCTTGTAGATCGCAACAAGATTAACCCTTTCACCTTTTTTACCTTTACGGTAAAATTTACACGTCGTTGGGTACTTGTCGGAGTTTGTCACTGAGACAAGCATCCTTTCCTTGAGATCTGGCAAGTCATCACTGTCATCACTCACTGCATCACTAACCTGCAAGGCACTGACTCCTTCAGTTACTTTGTCAACGGCATCATCACCAACTGCATCATCAACAAACAGTTGCCTCTTTGCTTGTTGTTTGATCTCATCTTTGTTACCGTGAGCTAACTTGGTAGGCGTTGCGGTTCGGTGGTCGGCGCGTCCGTCATCCTGTTGTTTTTCAACCGTTTTTTCTTTTTCAGACGGAAGTTTGCTCGTGGCCCCTGATGAAGGACTATTATCATTTTCTTGTTCACTCAT